TGGACAGATTAGTGTCTCACTGGACATATTAGTGTCTAACTGGACAAATTAGTGTCTAACTGGACATGTTGGTGTCTAACTGGACAAATTAGTGTCTAACTGGACGTATTAGTATCTAACTGGACGTATTAGTGTCTAACTGGACATATTAGTGTCTAACTGGACATGTTAGTGTCTAACTGGACAGATTAGTGTTTAACTGGATGTATTAGTGTCTAACTGGACAGATTAGTGTCTAACTGGACATACTAGTGTCTAACTGGACATATTAGTGTCTAACTGGACATACTAGTGTCTAACTGGACATGTTAGTGTCTAACTGGATGTATTAGTGTCTAACTGGACAGATTAGTGTCTAACTGGACAGATTAGTATCTAACTGGACGTATTAGTGTTTAACTGGATGTATTAGTGTCTAACTGGACATGTTAGTGTCTAACTGGACATGTTAGTGTCTAACTGGACAGATTAGTGTCTCACTGGACATATTAGTGTCTAACTGGACATATTAGTGTCTAACTGGACAGATTAGTGTCTCACTGGACATATTAGTGTCTAACTGGACATATTAGTGTCTAACTGGACAGATTAGTGTCTCACTGGACATATTAGTGTCTAACTGGACGTATTAGTGTCTAACTGGACGTATTAGTGTCTAACTGGACATATTAGTGTCTAACTGGACATGTTAGTGTCTAACTGGACATGTTAGTGTCTAACTGGACAGATTAGTGTCTCACTGGACATATTAGTGTCTAACTGGACATATTAGTGTCTAACTGGACAGATTAGTGTCTCACTGGACATATTAGTGTCTAACTGGACGTATTAGTGTCTAACTGGACGTATTAGTGTCTAACTGGACATATTAGTGTCTAACTGGACATATTAGTGTCTAACTGGACATGTTAGTGTCTAACTGGACAGATTAGTGTCTCACTGGACATATTAGTGTCTAACTGGACAAATTAGTGTCTAACTGGACATGTTGGTGTCTAACTGGACAGATTAGTGTTTAACTGCACATATTAGTGTCTAACTGGACATGTTAGTGTCTAACTGGACATATTAGTGTCTAACTGGACGTATTAGTATCTAACTGGACGTATTAGTGTCTAACTGGACATATTAGTGTCTAACTGGACAGATTAGTGTTTAACTGGATGTATTAGTGTCTAAATGGACAGATTAGTGTCTAACTGGACATACTAGTGTCTAACTGGACATATTAGTGTCTAACTGGACATACTAGTGTCTAACTGGACATACTAGTGTCTAACTGGACATGTTAGTGTCTAACTGGATGTATTAGTGTCTAACTGGACAGATTAGTGTCTAACTGGACAGATTAGTATCTAACTGGACGTATTAGTGTTTAACTGGATGTATTAGTGTCTAACTGGACAGATTAGTGTCTAACTGGACGTACTAGTGTCGAGCTGGACATGTTAGTGTCTAACTGGATGTATTAGTGTCTAACTGGACATGTTGGTGTCTAACTGGACAGATTAGTGTTTAACTGGACATATTAGTGTCTAACTGGACATGTTAGTGTCTAACTGGACATATTAGTGTCTAACTGGACGTATTAGTATCTAACTGGACGTATTAGTGTCTAACTGGACATGTTAGTGTCTAACTGGACAGATTAGTGTTTAACTGGATGTATTAGTGTCTAACTGGACAGATTAGTGTCTAACTGGACATACTAGTGTCTAACTGGACATATTAGTGTCTAACTGGACATACTAGTGTCTAACTGGACATACTAGTGTCTAACTGGACATGTTAGTGTCTAACTGGATGTATTAGTGTCTAACTGGACAGATTAGTGTCTAACTGGACAGATTAGTATCTAACTGGACGTATTAGTGTTTAACTGGATGTATTAGTGTCTAACTGGACAGATTAGTGTCTAACTGGACGTACTAGTGTCGAGCTGGACATGTTAGTGTCTAACTGGATGTATTAGTGTCTAACTGGACATGTTAGTGTCTAACTGGACAGATTAGTGTCTAACTGGACAGATTAGTGTCTAATTGGACATATTAGTGTCTAACTGGACAGATTAGTGTCTAACTGGACGTATTAGTGTCTAACTGGACAGATTAGTGTCTAACTGGACAGATTAGTGTCTAATTGGACGTATTAATGTCTAACTGGACAGATTAGTGTCTAACTGGACGTATTAGTGTCGAACTGGACATGTTAGTGTCTAACTGGACAGATTAGTGTCTAACTGGACAGATTAGTGTGTAACTGGACATATTAGTGTCTAACTGGACAAATTAGTGTCTAACTGGACATGTTAGTGTCTAACTGGACAGATTAGTGTTTAACTGGACATATTAGTGTCTAACTGGACATGTTAGTGTCTAACTGGACAGATTAGTGTCTAACTGGACATTTTAGTGTCTAACTGGACAGATTAGTGTCTAACTGGACGTATTAGTGTCTAACTGGACAGATTAGCGTCTAACTGGACAGATTAGTGTCTAACTGGACATATTAGTGTCTAACTGGACAGATTAGTGTCTAACTGGACAGATTAGTGTCTAATTGGACGTATTAGTGTCTAACTGGACAGATTAGTGTCTAACTGGACGTATTAGTGTCGAACTGGACATGTTAGTGTCTAACTGGACAGATTAGTGTCTAACTGGACAGATTAGTGTCTAATTGGACGTATTAGTGTCTAACTGGACAGATTAGTGTCTAACTGGACGTATTAGTGTCTAATTGGATGTATTAGTGTCTAACTGGACAGATTAGTGTCTAACTGGACATATTAGTGTCTAACTGGACAAATTAGTGTCTAACTGGACATGTTAGTGTCTAACTGGACAGATTAGTGTTTAACTGGACATATTAGTGTCTAACTGGACATGTTAGTGTCTAACTGGACAGATTAGTGTCTAACTGGACATGTTAGTGTCTAACTGGACATGTTAGTGTCTAACTGGACAGATTAGTGTCTAACTGGACATGTTAGTGTCTAACTGGATAGATTAGTGTCTAACTGGACATATTAGTGTCTAACTGGACAAATTAGTGTCTAACTGGACATGTTAGTGTCTAACTGGACAGATTAGTGTTTAACTGGACATATTTGTGTCTAACTGGACATGTTAGTGTCTAACTGGACGTATTAGTGTCTAACTGGACGTATTAGTGTCTAACTGGACATATTAGTGTCTAACTGGACATACTAGTGTCTAACTGGACATGTTAGTGTCTAACTGGACAGATTAGTGTCTAACTGGACAGATTAGTGTCTAATTGGACGTATTAGTGTCTAACTGGACAGATTAGTGTCTAACTGGACGTATTAGTGTCGAACTGGACATGTTAGTGTCTAACTGGACAGATTAGTGTCTAACTGGACAGATTAGTGTCTAATTGGACGTATTAGTGTCTAACTGGACAGATTAGTGTCTAACTGGACTTATTAGTGTCTAATTGGATGTATTAGTGTCTAACTGGACAGATTAGTGTCTAACTGGACATATTAGTGTCTAACTGGACAAATTAGTGTCTAACTGGACATGTTAGTGTCTAACTGGACAGATTAGTGTTTAACTGGACATATTAGTGTCTAACTGGACATGTTAGTGTCTAACTGGACAGATTAGTGTCTAACTGGACATGTTAGTGTCTAACTGGACATGTTAGTGTCTAACTGGACAGATTAGTGTCTAACTGGACATGTTAGTGTCTAACTGGATAGATTAGTGTCTAACTGGACATATTAGTGTCTAACTGGACAAATTAGTGTCTAACTGGACATGTTAGTGTCTAACTGGACAGATTAGTGTCTAACTGGACATTTTAGTGTCTAACTGGACAGATTAGTGTCTAACTGGACGTATTAGTGTCTAACTGGACAGATTAGCGTCTAACTGGACAGATTAGTGTCTAACTGGACATATTAGTGTCTAACTGGACAGATTAGTGTCTAACTGGACAGATTAGTGTCTAATTGGACGTATTAGTGTCTAACTGGACAGATTAGTGTCTAACTGGACGTATTAGTGTCTAATTGGATGTATTAGTGTCTAACTGGACAGATTAGTGTCTAACTGGACAGATTAGTGTCTAACTGGACATATTAGTGTCGAACTGGACATGTTAGTGTCTAACTGGACAGATTAGTGTCTAACTGGACAGATTAGTGTCTAACTGGACATATTAGTGTCTAACTGGACAAATTAGTGTCTAACTGGACATGTTAGTGTCTAACTGGACAGATTAGTGTTTAACTGGACATATTAGTGTCTAACTGGACATGTTAGTGTCTAACTGGACAGATTAGTGTCTAACTGGACATGTTAGTGTCTAACTGGACATGTTAGTGTCTAACTGGACAGATTAGTGTCTAACTGGACATGTTAGTGTCTAACTGGATAGATTAGTGTCTAACTGGACCTATTAGTGTCTAACTGGACAAATTAGTGTCTAACTGGACATGTTAGTGTCTAACTGGACAGATTAGTGTTTAACTGGACATATTTGTGTCTAACTGGACATGTTAGTGTCTAACTGGACGTATTAGTGTCTAACTGGACGTATTAGTGTCTAACTGGACATATTAGTGTCTAACTGGACATGTTAGTGTCTAACTAGACAGATTAGTGTTTAACTGGATGTATTAGTGTCTAACTGGACAGATTAGTGTCTAACTGGACATACTAGTGTCTAACTGGACATATTAGTGTCTAACTGGACATATTAGTGTCTAACTGGACATACTAGTGTCTAACTGGACATGTTAGTGTCTAACTGGACGTATTAGTGTCTAACTGGACATACTAGTGTCCAACTGGATGTTTTAGGGTTCTAACTGGACATGTTAGTGTCTAACTGGACGTATTAGTGATTGACAGACACATTGGACATGCTGGTAGAGCCAGAGGTTCTCTGACCTCTAGTAGACACTTCAGTTCTCCATGTGGAACCAAAGATTCTGCAGTAATGTGCTGCCTCTGCTCTTCTGAGAGCAGGTGTGTCCCATTTCCAGTAAATTCACCGGAGCCTGTGACCCAGACTTCAGCCAACACCCCTTGATCACGTGAGCTTCTCCTCCTTCACACAGTGTTTCAGTAGCAGACATGAATTAATCTACGTTCATAACCCCTCCGCCTCCATCCATCTCTTGTGTAGGTTCATGAAGAGCAAGGCTAACTACTCCCTGAACACAGATGACCCTCTGATCTTCAACTCCACCCTGCACCTTGACTACAGCACAGCTCACAAATACATGGGCTTCACCGAGGAGGAATTCAAGCGGCTGGTGAGATGGATGTGAAACAGCTGCAGGGGCTTTAAGGGTCCTTTAGAGGAAAAAACAGTAAAACTTTGGGGGACAGTTTACAGTAAAGTGGGATTTGTAGCAATGTTGTAAAAAATTTTATAGAACAGCCTCAGTTTGGTGAGAAAGATCTCTTCTCATTGTCTAGTCACAGCAGGGCCAGTTCCTGTGTGTGTTACTGTCATGACTTTCAGGAAGGGGAGTGTCCCAGCCCTGGACCCGGAATGCTGAGGTTTTGTTCCCCCTTTACCTATTTTAGGTTCTCTTTTCAATTAGTTATTCCATTTAATGAATCCGTCTTTGCTACCATGTTAAACGTCAGTGAGGTTTGTATTTCAGCTCATCATTCTCGTTACTAAAGGAGGCTCCATCACACCATCCTGATTCTCTCACTGGAGGAGGTGTCCTTCTGCAGATGAGAAAATATAAAAGTTTTCACAGCCTTTAAACTTCCAAAAAACAATTTCCAACTAAAGGCCGTTGGTGAGAACAGGTGATTTCCTATAAGCACGCACTTTTAGACTTGATTTCTTGCAAATTTTATAAATGGTTTATTCTTCCAAAAAAAAAAGGTTCAAAATTCATTCAAAATGTTGTACTTTTCATCCAACGAAAATTAACCTTAAATTAAATTATCAGGTCTAAAAAATGCGTGCTTAAAGGAAATCACCCGTTCTCACCAACGGCCTTTAGTTGGAAATCGTTTTTTGGAAGTTTAAAGGCCGTGACACTTAAGTCAAAAAATCATTTAACCAAATCCTCCCATCTTCCCTGACACTTGGCAAACAAACATTTTTCACACGCCTCCCCATGTGCTACTAATCAGCTTAATGACTAAGGCGCGTCCAAAAAGTTCACAACTACATCAATTTACCAAAAAATTTAAAATTGACACATTTAAATTGTAAACCTAACTTATTATAAAAGGAATGATAAGAAATTCTGAAAGAAATTTATAACTAACAGATTTATGCTACTTTACTGAAATGGCCACCACAAAAGTCAACAAAATATTAGCAGAAAATTTGCCACCACATGCTGCCAGCTCAGCTAATTTTAACGTGATTCCATGTAAGTCCACAAGAGGGCTCTTTCTTGTAGAAATCAACTGTTGGAGAACAATCAGAAAATCAGCCTATGGCACCCTCTGATGTCAGTAATGGACATTCCCTCAGATGTCTCAAAGTTTATCAAGGAAAAAAGATGGATCATCCATCCATTTTCTTTACCCGCTTGTCCACGCAGGGTCGCGCGAGGGCTGGTGCCGATCTCCAGCAGCCCCCGGGCATGCAGGTGGGGTACACCCTGGACGGGTCACCAGTCCATCACAGGGCAACGCAGAGTCAAACAGGACAAACAACCATGCACACACTCACTCCTAAGGACGATTAGAGACCGTTCAACCTGACGGTCATGTTTTGGACTGTGGGAGGAAGCCGGGATGCCCGGAGAGAACCCACGCACACACAGGGACAATATGCAGACTCCATGCAGAAAGACCCCAGGCCAGGATTTTAACCCGGGACCTTCTTGCTGCAAAACAACAGCTTTAACCACTGCACCAATGTGCAGCCCAAGACTGATAATATTTAAGTCTTTATTGTCCTGTTATGAACTTTACAATTTACAACACATACGATTTTCTTTATAATTCATCAGAGCATTAACCTCTAACCACAGCCATGTGCACATACACGAAGAGCCTTTCTCTCTACAGGATGAGGGACTTCACGCGGCCTGAAAATGACCCTTGACCCCTCCAGATTGGTATGCAGCACCCGCTGCTTCTCTGAAGTCGTTGAGGATTATTTTCCTCATGTTAACACACACCTGTATGCTCCAGACCTGCACATACTGGAAACACCTTTGTTTCTGTGCCTCTTCTTCAGTACTGTCATAAGGTTATTCTGATAGAGGTCAGAAAAAACTGGTTGTTTTAATGCAGACGTCGCTCTATCAGGTTTCCCCTTAATCAGTCTCCTGTCTCTTCTGATTCTATTGGAAAGCCTTCTGATTAGAAACTTTGTTGACCTTCTTGTTTGTAGAACATCAAATCAGCAGAATCGTCCTTCCTGCCTGAGACAGAGAAGAGCGAGCTTCTCAGCAGGCTGTACAAAGCCTATGGGATGGAGCAGAGCACCGCCTTTTAAGCCTGAGCCCAACATCAGTGAAGAGGAAAGGGACTTCGCCCTGGAACCCATCACACCCCCATCCTGACCTCCTTCTGGCTCATCAGAAGACAGTTTCATGTTATACAGAATATTCTGCTGCTTATCAAGCGGCTGGGTTGCCCCATGATGCACATGTTCATCATTTCATCCTAATGCTCCTTATTTTTAATTTTGGGGACAGAACGTTCCTCTGAACACGTCCATCCCTGTTTTATGGTTTCTAGTGAAGCCAGTTTCATTAGAGCAGCACTTTTTGACACACACACACTTTAAACACACCATTCAAAACTCCTAAAGGTGGAGTCCAACACTAGGGTCAAAACGAAAGCCAAGAGATGAAGATGGGACCATGTGGACCACGTCTGAAGGGGAACACGAGGTTGATGTTCGCTCTCCACATGAAAACACCACAGACCAGTTGCATACACTGCTGCAGTCAACCTCTCCTCCGCGTACGTTTCATATCCAAACTACTTCCTCTTTATAAATACTTCCCATTGTGACGAAATAGGTACAACAAAGTAGAAGAGCCACTTTTTAGCTGTGATACGAAAAGATCGTTCATTTTATTTGCTCGTTTTAGGTGTAGAATAACAGCAGATGGGGCTAAACCAATCCACTCATGGGATGGTATCTATGGAAACGTTGTAAACAAGGTCTCACCTGTTCAGTTGATTATCAGTTGAATAACCTCAGCTTAAAGAAACGGAGATTAGTGGTGATAAAACGGACGAGCTAAGGGCTAGTCCGAGGAGATCCAATCTAAAACCTGTCTCAGCTTTTTCATCACATGAATCTGGTGTTTATTTTTATAGAGCACCACTAGAATCCCCATTAAATGTTAGGTTCGTGTCAACAAAAGCTTTATGAAATACATTTTATGTAAACCACCTTGAATTTTGAAAGCGGAGTCCTTTTACCACTCTTAGTTCATCTGTTCAGTCAGAACATTTACATTTACTGAGCCAGGTGAGATATTACTGGTTTATAATATTTTCACGGAAGCCCAAAGTTGTTAGAAAGAAGTGAAAATGTTCTTCAGCATCAGACCCAGAATGACAGACGGGCAACCACGTTATGTTCGAAGAAGGAAGCAGACCATCAGTAGCGATGGCTGAAATCATCTCTCTGCAGGACCTTTACACAAAGAAAGTGTCTTCTTTTCTATTTATTTAAACGTGAAGATATGAAGGAAAAGTCACTGTCAGAAGTTCATTCTTCCACATTTAAAATGTAAGCCTTTTAAATTGCATTAAGATGTGTTCGTATGTGTGGAGCATATGTGAGGCTGGCTGCTGGTGAAATGAATGCGTGATTTTTGTGTGAAAGCAGCGTTTATGCATCAGGCTCCGGGACATCAGGGAAAACAGCTTGAAACCAAAGGTGTAGTCTTACATGTGGCCACTAGGTGGCACTAGAACATCTCCTTGCTGGAGAACTCAGGGCCAATCTGGCAGGTTTTAATTAGATGGTTACTCATTTTATTGCAATGTAAATATGTATTTAATACATCATTGCATTTACTAAAAAGCACTTAGAAAAATGATTCGACTTGAATAAAAGCTGCTATAAAATGTTTGTTTCAGTCATTGTCCACAACAACAGAAACGTTGTGTTTTCTGTTAGAATAAAGAAAGCCCTGCAGCTTTAAAACAGCGTCTCTTTTCTAACGAGCAGAGCTCTGCCTCCTTATTGTGAAGATAAATGGAAGGACGGTGGAAATGTCAACAGCGACTTCCTGTGACCATCCTAATGTACACAAACGCTGCATCCAGTAATATTTATGGTTCTCATCAACGCCGGCTGGCTGGAACACGTCTCCTTTTACAGCTCCCAAGTCTCGGTGACCCCCCAGGACATGTAAAAAATACTAATATTACAGTAATTCAGAAGTATTTTATTACACAAAGAAAACTTCTATCACAAAGTTATCACTTAACATTGAGCAATAAATATGGACAGTATGGATGGAGTATGTTGGTTACTATAAAAAGAAAACCTTGACAAAGAAAATGCACACACACACACACGTGCGCACACACACATAAAAAGAAAACAGATAAACGGGCCCTCAGTGACTCGGCCCCACACTAGGCTGGAGCAACGGGCTGCTTAGATCCTCACAGGCTTCAGTCCAAAGTTTCTGTGCTTTCTGGTCTTGTTGGGTAAACAGAAGACTAACAAAATGAAGCAAAAACAAAAACGATTCACGACTCGCTCTCTGTTCCGTCCCCGTCCAACGATCTGATCCAGTAGAAAAAAGGCGACCTTTGGGGTGGTCGCAGCTCCAAAAGGCCGGCAGTGAGTGAAAGTGTCCTCACATCCTGTAGGACAGTAAAACCTCCTCCTCTCCACACTCTCCTTGCTTTCCCCCTACATCCCCCCCCCCCCCCCGAGATTCCTGGCTGGTTTTAGGATGGACCTCCACCTCCTTGGGTGTCTTGGCTTGTGGAGCCTTCTGCCTCGGGGGCCGGGGAGGCCCCTGGGTTCCCCTCTGAACAAAAGCCAGAGAAATAAAATAAATCAGTGCTCATGATCCAGACCAAACAAGGAATAAAAACCGTGTGAAATAATAATAAACAAACAAAGTGCTGGGGGAAGGAACGCAGGCTTCCTGTTGGAAAGAGATGAAGCAACTTCAGATTTGATCCATCCTACCAGACAAAAGGGAGTCAGCGAGAATAATGAATGGCATCAGTCAGAGGAAGAGAAGAGGGGAGGAGAACAGGAGGTGATGAGAAGAGAGGGAGAGAAGAGGGGACAAGAAGAGGAGAGGAGAATAGGAGGAGAGAGAGAGAGAGAGAGAGAGAGAGAGAGAGAGAAGCGGAAAGGAGAGAGAGAAGAGGAAAGGAGAGGAGAGAGGAGGGAAGGAGAGAAGGAGGAAAGGAGAGGAGAGAGAAGAGAAGAGAAGAAGAGAGGAGAGGAAAGGAGCGAAGAAGAGAGGAGAACAGGAGGTGATGAGAGAGAAGAGGAGAAGAGAGGAAGAGAAGAGAGGAAGGGAGAGAAGATGAGAAGAGGGGACAAGAAGAGGAGAGGAGAATAGGAGAAGAGAGAGGAGGGAAGGAGAGAAGGAGGAGAGGATATAGGAAAGGAGAAGAGGAGAAGAGAGAGAGAATAGAAAAGCAGGAGAGGAGCTGTGTCTCTGAGCTTCTGCTGCTACGACTCATTAAACACGCAGCCTAACAGGAAATCACAGCTGAGAATAAATCAGCTGTCTGCTGCTGATATTTTGGTGCATGTAGGTCCAGAGCAGCTGCTCGCCAGCAGAACCCTGATCAGATGTTTACTACGGGTTTGGACTGAAGGAGCTGGTAAACAGGGTTATGGATGCACTGACATCTCCATCATGATGTTCACGAGGAAGCATCTCTCCTCGTGAGGTGCAGATGGAGAGTCTTTCCACCGTTTTCTCTAAACATCTGAATAGAAATTAGAATCCACTCATGCAGAGCCATCGTATAATCTCAGTCCTAATCTGGTACGGTGTGGTGATCCTGTTTGACAAAACGGCATCTCTCCATTCAAAGTGACAGAATGGCAGGATGTTAAATGGTACCGGTTTCAGATATGGACCGAGATATTCACCTTTTGACATAAAATGACTAAATAGAAGTTAATTCAGTCTGAATCTGTTGTTCACAGTTGTTTAATAAAGATTTTCAATCTTCATTCCAAAAAAAAGTCACTCCTGGAAGCAAATGTTTCTGCTCCTTCATGAATAAATTAGTTGTTCGATACCCAAATTTCTCTCTAACACACAAACACACACACACACACACACACACACACACAAGTCTGACAGGTAAGCCACCTGCTGCACTGTTCCGATGCTGTGCAGACTACTGGTACTGCTCCAAAAGCTGGAATAATTTCCAGGAGATCTTCCCTTTTCAAACCCTAAACCTGATGCCTAGACAGAGACCAGAGGGGGGGCTTCCAGCCATCAGACCAGCTCTGGTGGGAAGGTTATACTTGTGGGATTACTGAGAACCTTTGTGGTGATCTGTTAACTCATTCACTGCCAGCCGTTTCCTGATCGCTAACAGCCTTCGCTGCCAGCGTTTCTCACCGTTTTGACTGTTTTTTTTAGAGTCACACAACGTTGTGCGCTAGCATGATGTCGATGCCAAAACAACCAAAACACAGAGGAGACTCACCAATTACATCAGGAAGAATCCGTGTGTTTCGAGCGTTATCCGTTCTTTCATAATCCGTTGTCGTATTGTGATCGGCAGACGCTTTTCCGGTTCGCGCCTCACTTTTTTTTTACAGGAACGGCCCAAAACGATCTCCAAACACATGGATGATCTGCTTCCTGATCATGTGACGTGTGACGTATGCAGATGAAGATCGGCTTCAGGGCTGAGATGTTTGTTCTCTCAGCGCGGGGGCTCGTTCCAATGCTCAAACAGTAAAAAAATGCAAATGACGACTTTAGTCGTCAATGGCAGTGAATGAGTTAAGTAAACTCGGCGTTTTTCTTAATTCCATCTCAGTCACTTGATGTTGAGCATCCACTGCAGCTGGTAACCTTTTACCGCAGGAACAACTGTTTTATTTCTTTAGATCCCAACACACCTGTAAGAGCTTGTCTCTCATAAACTAAGATTCATCTTATTAATTCGTTTTCAAAAGCCATAGAAAAACCGGGTGTTTAAACTGCATGTTGCTGGAGGCCAGCCTCCACTGACCTGCACCCTGCAGATTCATCTCTGCCAACTCTTTGGTGATTTCACTCCTGCTGGTCACATCCGACTCTTCCCCAGTGATGTCGGGCACTGCGTTCCGGCGGCCTGTGCGGTCGCAGTTGATGAAGTCCGAGTACGACGTCTCCACGTCCATCATCTGTCCATGACCAGCACTCTCATTACACCTGTTGGACAGAGGGAGGAGAAGGAGCGTCAGGATCGACGCAGAGGGGTCCTAAAAAGCCAACAGCATCAACCTGCTGTGATGTTTTATATCGGTCACAAGAGAATGTTCACTTTGTGCATCGGCAAAAACATAAAAGAGAGAAAACACACATGCTGTCTGGAGACATTCAGGAAACAGAGCTGAGCGAGAATCGGTGTGAGGAAGGATGATGTGAATAATCATCCTTCCCATTTCTGCTCATGGATTCACGGGAGTGCTGACATCTATCCTAACTGGTGACCTAATTACATCAGGAGAAAGGTCTGCCACTTGTTTAGTCATATAGCTCTCTGACAGAGTCCATTTGTCTGTCCTAAAGCCACGAACCCCGCGTTTAAAAACGGGAGGGGATGGAGGACATGTCAATATGGAACGCCAGACTAAGAGCTTCAACCAGATGAGATGGAGACAGAGTCCCAGAAAAATAATCCATTATCTATCCATCCCGTTTTCCCTTCTTTTTCAGCTAGATCATGGACCCTGCCAACCACCAACACGTTTTCTAATCCTTCAGAGAAGAAAGGGCAAAGCCGGAGACATCTCCAGGAAGCAGAACAGAAGGAATCTGATGAGAAGCAAAAACCCAAAGAGATTCCAGATTGGGATTGTGCTCACAGCGGTTCCTCTATCCCTGAGGGCTGCCAAAGCATCCCAGGAGCATCTCACTGTTGAGAGAGTGGATCATCCCAGATGATAACAGCTAAACAGCTCTGAATACTTCAAAACACCAGGAAGAATTAAGAGTCTCAGAAGAAAACAATCCAAACAAAGGTCATGGGCTTCATTTTGGCCACAAGAGGAATCAACATTTCAACATTTCTGAAGACTTTTGGCTGCTGCTCTGTCATAATCTAAACTAAAATAATTATCTGATGTATAAACGATCTCAGAAGTATTAAATTAACCAGGATGGGCAGAAATGTTGAAGTTGCTACCAGTGGCTTGATGAGTCACCATGGCAACGACACAAGTGAAAAGTTCTTGCTTCTTGGTGGCAAACTTTCCATTCAGCTACTAAACGTCATAACACACCACTGCCATCTGAGCGGTGTGTTCTCATGTTTAATGTGTGTGTGTGTGTGTGTGTGTGTGTGTGTGTGTTAAGCACCTGGCTGTGAAAGCTGAAAAAGTTGTGACAGATTAGTGGAAAAGATCAAGCTTCAGTGGTTTGGCACTCTTGAAAACCTGACGCCACCAGGCTGGTTTCCTTTCCTGTGCAGTGTGCGTGTGCGTGTGTGTGTGTGTGTGTGTGTGTGTGTGTGTGTGTGTGTGAGAGAGGAGAGAGGAGAGAGGAGAGAGAGAGAGAGAGAGAGAGAGAGAGAGAGAGAGAGAGAGAGAGAGAGAGAGAGAGAGAGAGAGAGATCATGTAGAACAGGAAGCACCTCAGGTGTTTCTGAGAGGTCAGCTGCATCAGAAGCAGGCGGCGCTGTGTGACGATGTGAAGGGCAGATTTCAGGTCCCTGTAGGTAAGAGTGCTACCTCTGGAAATGTCAGAGAACTGGACGCTGGCATTTCCCACCAGAGCCTCTTTGGGTTCCCGACAGCAGACGGTGGATAAGATCCATCAATAGTCCTCTCGATATCAGGCTGTATGGTCATTAGAGACCCAGACGACAGGAGGAGGCCGCTGCTTTATAATCACATACAAGTACGACCTCTTCCAAAGACATCGGACCAACACTAGAGATAAGAGCTGAAGGGTTTAGGGAGACTTTTTTTTAGCGTGATTTCCATTCGCTTTGTTCCCCTTAAAAGTTTCTTACCCACTGTTATAACATTAAATATTTAAAAATATGTTAAATATTTAACACCTCTTCGGCGGTGGTTCCAAGTGACACTCATCATTGCTGCTGCACAGATTAAAATCATAAAAACATCCACTGACAGGAAAGCTACTGGTACCACTTTACATTATTAGTCACTTATAAGGGCGGTCGTAAACAGTTTATAACACTTTCTAATCTACCGTGCTCAGTAATAGCTCCTACTGTGATCCTTACAGTGAAATATATTCATCAGACGATTCACTCATTACAATAATCCACTCACATCACTCGTTTATAAATGCTTAATAATGTTAAAGTCGCGGTCAAATGTGTTTATAAAGCACGTTTACCCAAAGTGCTGTGCATGTCAAACGCACATACGTGAAACTACAGCCAAAAGCTAAACATAGTAGTGAAATTAAAACGTGTGTGTGTTCTGCAGTTAGAGCCATTTAAAACCAGCTCATTATCATCACTGAGAGAAATGTGGCAGATGCACATCTTGCCAAGGCCGCATCTTTTGGCAGATCCTGGTGTTTCTTGTTTGGGCCTCAGAGAAGCAGCGAGTTTCATTTCTGAGGACAAACATGGAGGCAGATTTAAGGTTTGGGGTTTTGTTGAGAAGCGTAAAAAGAGAACAGGAGTTTAATAACAGCTTTATAAACTGTTACTAGTTAAACCTGCAAACACAAAGTGGTTTGTAGGACTAGAACTGCTACGGTCATCCAACAGCATCCACCTTTATATTTAGTTTTTTATTCATCATTGTCTGCATGCTAGAATTGTTATAGCAACCGTTCGCCTCCACACCACCAGTCTGCAACGAGTACATCAGTCAGGTTTGGTTCCAGTTATTAGTAGGGATGCAGCAATACTACTTTTTTCCAAACCGATATGATACAAACACTTGGATCCGAGTACTCGCAGATACCGATTACGATACTTCTACCACACAAATAAATGTTGCGAATTGGAATACAGGTTTTATTTTCTTCTCTGCTTTCAACAGGAAAAGACTGTAAGGGAGATAAAAACTAAAATATATGAATAGAAATGATCACAACACTAAAATATTAGGTGAACAGAAAAGACAAGTTCCAGTGAAGCCACTTTCAAGCAACTGCATTGGTATCTGTGAACTTTTACCAATACCAGTATCGATACCAGTATCGGTATCGGTGCGTCCCTAGTTACTAGTAAGCTCCGTCCAAGCTGGTGTAGGGAAACTGTCACGCAGGCAAAGCTGAGCCTGCATCTGCTTCGCTTTGGAGTGACACGAGTTGTACAGGTTTGGCCGTGCTTCGCGCTAGCTGACGCGATCACAGCAGGACACGCTCACCGAGCATCTGACAGGAGAAACACAGGCTGCTAGTCTGCCGTGGAGTAACACGGGTCATCTGGCCGACACGTTTGCTACCGAGTGGTTGTTTGAAGAGTCTTTCAGAGTAGATTGGACCCATGTTTGAAATAAAGTTGTATACACAGATTATGAAGCCAAACGTCCATTTTATGTCTCATTTGAAGCCCCAAAATATAAATATATACAATTCGGCCATGGTCTTATTTTGAACATTTTCTAAAAACAATCTAAACATGTGAGAATATTTTAAATTCACAGCATGCTCAACATTCATGCATTTTTATTTAAAGGCACTCTGGCAGTTTTATTTGCTTTTAGGACCCCCATTGTCCATTTAGTAGAACCGAAAGCAAAACCTATCTTTTAACACCTTAATCTAACTGTGGAAATGTCTCCCCAGCCTTCATTAGTGTCTACAGGGGGTGATTCATAACTAAATCAAACAAATCAGCTGTGTTCATGATTTAAAAAAATGCTAAACATGCTGGACACGGACTGCAGCGCCAGGAATGTCAGCTCCCTTTTTTAACTCATTCACTGCCAATGACGACTAAAGTCGTCATTGGCATGTTTTTACTGTTTGAGCATCGGAACGAGCCCCCGCGCTAAGAGAACAAACATCTCAGCCCTGAAGCTGATCAACATCCGCATACGTCACAGATCACATGATCAGGAAGCAACACATCCATGTGTTTGGAGATCGTTTTGGGCCGTTCCTGTAAAAAAAAGTGAGGCGCGAACCGGAAAAGCGTCTGCCGATCACAATTCGACAACGGATTATGAAAGAACGGATAACGCTCGAAACACACGGCTTCTTCCTGATGTAAGAGGTGAGTCTCCTCTTTGTTTTGGTTGTTTTGGCATCGACATCATGCTAGCGCGCAACGTTCTGTGACTCTTAAAAAAACAGTAAAAACGGTGAGAAACGCTGGCAGCGAAGGCCGTTAGTGATCAGGAAATGGCTGGCAGTGAATGAGTTAAAGTCCAACAGACCGGACTGGCACTCTGAAGTTGCAAGTCCGGTATTCTGGCCACAGAGGGCGGTGGAGGTCTGAGGGACATCTCATTAATCCTGTAAAGGCTCATTTTAGCACACACTGGATAAAGAAAAGGATTTAAAGATAGGAAGAACTCATTTTTGCCAATGTAGAACGATATTTTTACACACATGTGCAACCTTTCCTCTTAGCATGGTGTTAGCACAGTCAAAGCATAAAAGCTTGAATCAGAATAATCAATCAACTGACAGAATGATGGACGTAAAGTTGCCGTTAATGTCCGCTCTACAGCAGCACACTTATTGATAAACGACTGATGACTTCTGATGAAGGACGCTTGAAGATGGAGAATTCCTCCTGCAGCTCCATTTTATCGTTGGCCCGCTTTGCAGACAGCCAACATGCACATCAGTAGGCATGAAATGTGCTCTGCTGCTCTTCACACTGAGCATGACTCAGCTGGCAGCGTCCACAATAAATGTCAGGTTTGATTTCTTTAAAAACAAAACAGAACACGGCGGCTAACAGGAGATAAAAACAGCTGAACTAAACTACTTTAAAAGTCTGACTAGCATCTGTATTAACACGATTGTGTCGCCTGGACAAAATAGAAATAATCTTCATTAAAGCTGCATTATGTAACATTTTTGTTATAATAAAACCGTTTTCCACCTTTTTCATCTCCTGAACAAATGACTGAATCTAGTCCTTTTTGCCACAGTTGCACACAGATGTAGCAAGTATATTTATTTTGAAGGGGTTCAGGCCGGTTCCACCTTGTGAGTGTGTGCCGTGACGTATGCATGTTCACAAGGAGACCGTGTTCTCGTCTAGT